AATACATAAACAATAAGGGCAGGAGGACAAAATAAGATGTACTAAAATGTGAATTAGCTTTATATTTGGATGTTAGTAGGTTGAGTGATGTTTTCCTACTCTTTCTTTTCAATTTTTCCATTAAAAAATGAACAAGAATAGGTTTTATCTCCTTTATGTCACTCCCAAAATGTGAAAATATGCACATAACTTATTAAAAAGCAGAAACAAAGGATGAAAAATGAAAGGAATTAGGAAAAGAAGAGAATAGAAAGCTTGAAAGCCAGTTCTTGCTCCTCTAACAATTTTCTGAGATCTTGGACACATCACATACCTTTTCCATACGTCTGTTTTCTCATTTATGAAATGAGAGGAATGGGATGAAGGTTGGGAGAGTTAAAGGTGAAAGTGCATGAAATATAATGCCATTGAACCGTGGTTCCAAGTTTCAGAACAAGATGTGCAGAAAATGATGCGGTTTGTAGTGAGTACCATTGAGGCTGGAGGCGACTGGGTCTGGGGCTCCGCATCCCCTTTGCCCACCAGTTGCTGACTCAAGGCCACCTTTCCTGCATGAAAAATTGGCTGGCTCTCCTATCCTTGCTTTATCAGCATGTCATGCATCTTTCTTTTTAAATACCCTAAATTGATAGGTTCCCTGTTGAAAATGGTAGTTAGGACATTGACTTCAGTTGGAAATAGCAACCAAATTATAACATTGGGGCCAAACAGCATTTGGAGCTGCCAAGGAAGGGCTAGCAAGGGTAAAGAAAATTCAATCCAAAGCATAATGCATAATCAAAATACTATGTGTACTAGGCAAAAACCATTGTGAAACATTATCTTGGTGGTCTCAATAGCATTTTTTGCTACAGAGCAGAATTCATTGTGAAGAAGGTCTTGACTTCTGAAAGAGCAAAAGGAGCCTCATTATGTGGTGGTTTCATTCTAGCATGTTCTACAGCAGCAGACCTGTGTGGGTTGTACTTCTTTCTTCAAGCACCTTTCCTCCAGTGAGGTCAAATAGTATTTCTACACCCTAAAGTTGTATAGAGTGGGAGAGCTTTAAAACATTTTCGGACATGTTACTTCATTTAATTATGCAAGAAAGGTGTTTTTCCACATGGGGAAGCTGAAACCTAGAGAAAGTAAGTGACATGCCCAGGGGCATCAGCCCCAGCAGGTGCTGAATCTTCTGACTCTTGACCCCATGGCATATATACCTGTGTTCTGCACCTGATATTTAGAACCTACCTGGGAGGCCAGTGAGATGTGACTGTCAATTATTCAGTGGCAATTGATGCATTTATATTCAAACTGTTCATCTAATTTTATTGGGGTTCTCTGTAAACCATGGGGGAAAATCATCCCCTTAATGAAAAAAGAGAGGGTTGGTTTTGCTATTCTGACCTGATCTGATTTGCCCAGGGAAATGGAAACCCCTGCAGTTGGCCTGCTGCGTTGGGGGTTAAGTACATTTGTATTTTCCCTTGTTTTGTTTTTTTTTTTTTTGGGGTTTGTCTGTGGGAGGAAAT